TGGGTGTTTAACACCAACTGGAGAAAAAGATATTTAAAAAAACAGGACAAATATAATAGAATTTGCTTCACACAAAACCTGTAAGAGCCTAGTTAATATTCCAGAATATCTGTGGGGATTTGAGAAGGCAAACAGATTGAAATAAGGTATTATGATTAAAACAATAAAAAACAACAGATGGGACCTTGGACATAAATCAAACCCCACGCAGTAAGAAAAATGCAAAATGCACTCCCGTCACATTTTAYAAGGTACAGCCTTTAAGAAAAGTTGTCATAGAAATAACATCCAGAGGCTTCAATGCCTCACTGGCATTAAGGGAATACATTTTTGACAAAGAAACTCAGTTCTTAATGCACCACTCACCTGCAGGCTTGGGAGATGCTCCCATTGCCCATTCCTGACACACACATTACCTGGGAGAAGCCAGTGCTAAGTTCACCTGCATGTGAWGTTTTTCCACACACACAGATCAGTTTTCTGAGCATGTGTTCAATGCCAGAGGCAACACAAAGCAATGACCCCATGGTGAGTGTCCAGCTGCTGAAGGAGAGGGATAACCAGAGTCCCCTTGCTTCAGCAATGGAGCTGGAACTGTTCTCACATTGGGATCAGTGAAGAGGATGAGCAGCAGGAAAGGCAAGCTGTCCACCACATTGTCAAATCTTTTTTTCAGTAACATTGAGAGAAGTGGCCTAGTTCATTTAAACACTATAATCTCCCCCAGGTATCCTGCAAGATGCTGAATGATCATTTGCACGTGATTCCTTCCCTTCTTTCCTTCCTTTCAGGAAGCAAGGAATTTATCTTTCAAAAACTTAGCATTTTTAGCTCATATTTTTAGAGCTTGCAAATATAATAGAGAAGTTTCTCTGTATTTGTGCTGTGTATAGAGATGTAATGTGTTTCTGTACTTCTAGTCTCATGTTAGAAAAAAACATGTGCACACTATAGAAAGAAATTCTTGATTTACTAACATTAAACACTGATTTATCCATTAAGYCATCAGTGCAATTTCTGTATTGTGAGCAACATGGAATTATATACTGTAAAATATTTCTTTCAATTGTTGACATTATAAATTAATTTGATACCTTACAATATTTCAATAATGGAGGTTTTATRACCAGGTTTTAGGATGATAAACATCCTGTATAAATTATGAATAGGCATAAAACTACAGACACATAAGAGAGCAGAGAAGAGAGCTCACTCWTTCTGATTCGGGCCTACAATCTTGTTTTGCTTCTGCTTGTTCATATAACATTTAGAAAAGCTAAAGAGTTGGCAGGAAGCATGCAGGCATGGCTTATTCATGCACTTAGAGGCAGWGACAAAATGGGTTTTCTTCTCTCTCCAGACACACACTGGATCTGTAGTTAAAMTAATTAACTTGAGCAGAGTATGTGATGAAATGTGGGCATGTGATTCTCCAATTTGGGAAAACACTGGGAAAAGAATGGATCAAGTAGATTTCTGAGTCCTCCCTTGCTCTTAGCCAGGGGTGGCAGGGGAGATTTTCACTTCTTTGGTCACATTTGAACCAGACATGGATTTGTCTCTGTGGTACCACCCTGTTCTCATGCACTGCACCTCCCATTCAGCCTGACTACAGGAGAGCCAGGGAGACATCACAGAGAGAGAGGAGGAAAGCAAAGGAGAGGAAGAAAGCAAAGGAGAGAAAGAAAGCAAAGGAGAGGAAGAAAGCCAAGGTGGGCAGAGCCCCAGGCCCTGCTGCTGCTCACAGCCTGGTGCTCAGACAAGATGCCAGGCTCACACTTTTTGTTTTGCTCCAGGAGAATCTGTGAGCCCCTCCTGTGGTTAGCTGAGGTTAACATAGTCCCCAAAACAATTCTTCTTGGTACTGCATCTGTCTTCTGCCTGGCTGCAAATAGCTCTCTGTAGTTTACAGTCTCAGTTCACAGCTTATGTAAATAGAAGGGAACTTSTGCTTGTCTGTGCCTTAAAAGCACATTTCCGTCCCTCATGATCACAGGGTGAAGCTCAAATACATGGTTTAGGTGCATTCTGGTTTTCCAGAAGCAAACAATAAATAGAGTTAGCCTCCTTAATAGTGATTTTAAGCCAGCCATTTCTGAGGCCTGATTCAGAATTGTTARTGGTCCTGCAAGAAACTTCTTGGCATGGCAACAAAAATACAGGTTCCCAATAAAGTATTTCCACCTCAGCAGAGATCCATCCTGCAGGAAATTCTCTGGTCACCCGTACACACACTGGCTGCACCAGTACAGATATGTGTATCAGCAATGCCTACCTCCTGGGCCAGTCAGACCCTGCTATGTGAGTTGGGTCAGATCTGATTTTTTCACTATTCCAGAGACCTGGAGGTGATAGAAGTTACACTTTATGACACATCTGCAGGGGTCAATTATTACATTTCCTATAAAATGAACCAGGGAGGGGGACAAAGGGAAAGAAAGGAAAGGAGATGGAGAAAACAGGTATCATTTCAATATTACAGCARACTGGCAAAATATGTTACTGCAAAACACAGACTGTGAGGAACAAAACCAGGAACAGAGCACAAGCCAACCTCGCTTCCCATGTGCACAAAATCACCTTATGAAAACTGTATTTCTAGTCATGCTGATTAGGAAATCTGATAGCTTGTGGCATGAACTTCTCCMAAAGTTCTGGCCTGTGCCATTCCTGGGAGCTGCTTGCAGGCTGTTTCARGCAGTGGCTCTGGTAAAACGAGCTGCACAACCTCTGTACCCTCTTTATCGCTACGCCCTACRCTATCTTTTCCTGTTAGCACTTGGCAGCAGCAACAAAGAACTGGGCCAAAGACAAATGCTGACTTCTACAGCGTTGCTGATGAKTGAAACAAAACTCTCTAGCCTCCCTGCATGCTTTCTCCTTCCTCAAATGCACCTCATGTACTTGAGGTGCTGCCCACYGGCTTTTGTCCATTATCTGCCCAAGCCACCTGCCTGCTCTCTGCTGAATCCTGAGAAGTGTCCTTGTTCCCAAAAGGACATGATGGACCATGATAGAGGGTGCTGGAAAGCTCCTGCCCTGTGAATGGAAATGCACCTGGATCAGTGTTTCCAACATTCCTCAATATTTGCATCCTCAACATTTTTCCAATGCCCATGTGAGCACTGTCTAGAAATGCCATTTGTCAGACACTGTGTAGTAAATACAGACTTGCTTTCCTTAATCACCTCCCACAGACCAGCTGTCCTCAGGCAGCCTTATTTGTTGTTTTTTTGAAAGAAGCATCAGTGATCCCCAAAGCATGACTTCAGCTCAGATCACCATTTTGTGGGTTTCTCACATTTGTGAGACTGAGARCTGAAAGAAGATCCCCTGACACAAAAGCAGAATACCTAAGCATGCCATTTCAATTCCAGCAATCAAAACATTCCAACTCTTCATTGGATGGAGAATGACARCGTTTGAAGTCAACATGAAAAGCTGAATTTATACAAATATTTTGGTATAGTTGAGCTTTCCTGCCTGTGGAAAATTAACCTTCTTATCCAATAGAATGTGTTTTGGGTCATGGCAGTGAAGATGTCTATAATCTCCTGCACGTGGAGAATTTCCACAACATCAGAATTAGCAAGAAGTAAAGAGGGAAAAAAACCCTGAATGGAAACGAATGGAAGACTGACCTGGCTGTGTTCCACAAAGCACGTTCTGCAGCTGCATCACTGCTCTGGAACAAAGGGGAATATAATTATTGTTGTTTTACTTTCATTTCCCATTAGCAAAGCAAAGGCAAATAAAAGTGGTTGTTATTTCTGCAGGGGAGAACTGGAGGAGGTGGGTACAAGGTCACAAAGGGAAATTGTGAGGAGACTTTCTTAAGCCCGAAYAGCTCAGGCACCCAATGCAAAAATCTATCAGTAAAATTCACCATGAACCCTCTGCTCCTGCAGGGCTGASTCAGGGATAAGGCTCAGCCACACCTGCTGGGGTAGGGCAAGACTTGGCTGCTSTTCCTGTCAGCCAAACCAAGAGTGAGAATTGCTTTTGGGGACACAGCTATTTCTGTCATGCTGGTCCCCACTCCCGCTGTCCTTACTGCTTGCAGGGAAAGCAAGGCCTGCCATGGTCCCTTCCTGCAGCCAAAGGTTTCTAGCTTCACTTGTGGGGCTGAGATGATTTGCCATACAGGCACACACTACACCATACACTACTTGCCTCAGAAAGTGTTGCTTCCTCATTATTTATGACAGCAAAAAATGAAGCTCCTCATTYTGTCTCCCTTCTTTCTTTTCTCCCTTCCAAGTTCTTTGGCCAGAGACTTGCACCACTTATTTGCATGCAAAAATCATCACTGTGGATACAGAAAAAKATATTATTCATAATTAAGGAGTTTGTGTGGGCAGGGCAAGGGGCTGCTCTTTGAATTCCTGTCTCAGCTGCAGAGGCTGTTGCTTGCTGTGCTCCTCTACATGCCTGGTTGCCATCAATCCTGCCCTCTCCCCAAACTGAAGGAGAAAAGTATTTAGTTGAATACCTCTTTCTCCTGTTTTCTTTTTCTGTTTTCCTGCATTTACACTTAGCAAGCAAAGTGTGACAAGAGCTCATGCAAGGCCTGCTGCTTTGAAATGTCTGCAAAACTCTGTTCAGCTCCAACACAAGCACCTGACTGGGCTGGCCAGTGAGAAAGGGGAAAAACGGGAGCAGAGGCACTGCACTACTCCTTCCTAATGCACAGGAGCACTGGAAACAGGGCACTGGGGCACCTGCTCATGCCAAAGGTGGCTGGAAGTCCCATTCAGCCCTTATTTATCAAGCAATTCCTTATCACCCAACCAATTAACACCGCTGCAATGGCGGTTTCCTCTTCCTCTCATTCCTGGAGCATGTTACTACTCATGGCCAATAATMACATGAAAAACCAACAAAAGACCATGCTTTTTGTCATTAATATGATCTTTAATAAATGGAATAATGCACCATTTTTACAGCAAGCCTTTTCTCTCAGGCCTAAAGAATAGCCTTTTAAATGTTCTTATCCAATGTCTCTGTATCAATACAATCTCTTTATTTAGGTTTATATATAACAAAGCAATTCTTACAAGTATTCATAGAAAACTCTGTAGTGGCTTTAACAATGTCAGCTTTCATAGTGGCATCCACAGATGATTAAAACCAAAAATTAGCTTTTTATTTCATACTCACACTGTTCCATGAAACACAACTTATACAGCATAGCAAGGGTATTGGGCAGCTTATACAAAAGAAATAACTGAAAGCAATTATTTATAAATTCATACATGATATTTCCTCAGCCATCTGAGAGGAAAACCAAAAATACCCGTTAACAAAAGGGTTCTGATGAGACTCCATATTCTAGGATTTCTCCCCCTCTTCCCCCAGAAAAGCTCGCTCAGAAAGTAATGCTCTCTTTACAGTCTTTCATAAGGAAAATGGCAGTTTTGCATCCTCTTATTTCAGCTTTTACAGAAGACCAAACCCTAGAAGTTCATTCTTGCCATGCTTATTTTCCTCTTAYACTACATTTGGGGGGAAAATAATCAACAGCAATTGTAAAATATGATTCCAGCTTATATAAATGTGTATAGAGCACACTTTCCTCTAGAGACAAAAAGCAGACAAGAAACATATACATACAAACTGTTTTAAATACATTTCAACAGTGTGAAAGAGAGAGAAGAGTCACCAATCAGGAAATTCAAGAGTGACAAATGAGTCAGCTGTAACTTGGACTTGCCTGTTTGTTCTTGTGACTTCTTACAAACTACAAAACCAGAAACATTAACTATTTTCTGAATAAACAAGACTGAAGTGTGATACTTCATGATACAGTTCTGAAGCACAAAAAAGAAAGTGAATCAAGTGCTCTAGAAATAAACCTCCCACATTTGTTGTCTTAAAAACAAGTRAATAGGCTACAAAAGTGGACATTTGGGAGACCTTGGAACTAGGAAATGATAAAGGCTAATTATTTCTGCTTTAAAATAGTTACCAGGGGAGATGCTGTGCCCCTGATGGATACACTCCAGTGATCTGTAGACGTCTGCAAGGACTGGGAAGAATCCTTTCCTTCCTTCCTTCCTTCCCGTGACAGTCACTGTGCTGTGGAAGCATGGTGTATGCATTGAAGTTAACCAACTGAACAAATGCTGATGATCAATAGGTTTTGAAAAAATTCTCATTATTACATTATGAATTAGCATAACTGCAACTAGTTCCTGCTCATTATGTACAGTGAAACAGAACAGAAATGGCCATAAGAACTGATTTGTATGAGTTGAATGCACTAACACAGACCTGCATGGAACCCAGATCAACAATCAAGGGCCTTGGTGTAAATGAGGATTTATCTTGAACCCTTCCACTCCCACTCCCCAGTGCAGTTCCACTTTCTGACAACAGCCACAGCCCAGAATGACAGCCTGAGATCCTCACCACAACATCCTGCAGGGCCCAGGAGCCAGGGCTGCCCTTGCAGTCCCACATTCCACATCAGCTTTGCCAGGGCTAATCCTCCCCAGAAATGTTCAACACCACAAAGACAAGACTACTCTTTGATTTCAAGAGCACTGGGCTCAGCTGTGATCCCCTGAGGTGCCCGTTCCCTCACAACATCCATTTGGATTTACTGGAGCACCCACATCTGTTATTGCAGAAATGGAAGTTCTGCCTCCAATTCTACTCAGTACAGAAGAAATCTCAAAATGAGAAATCGGATTTGTTACTCTTTCACATCAAAACTGAACCTATTTGGGGGGTGGGTGAGATCTAGAAGGGATGTATTTCTATAGCTACAGTTTCATATGACAATATAGAAGCCTAAAATGTAATTTGATTTAATGGACTAAAATACTATGTTTAAATGGCAACCACACACATAACTATAGCTACTACATAAAAAAGCCTTGCAAAAATTATCACSTGTTAAGTGTTGTGGGTTATTTTTTGATCTTTGAGAGAGGTATCTTAAATTACTCAGCTTCAGATAAAGAYTGCCATGTGCATTCTCAGGTTTCTMTCTCACATAARTCCATTCCACCCAAATAATCRGTGACAAGTCTGTCATGGGAAATCTTGAACTACTAGACTACATGTCACAGTCTGATCCCAGCTTTACTCTGATGCACCAAAGACAACTTTAAAATGGCATATGAAAAAAMCCCCACATTATACTTTCTACCAGTGCTACCATCTGATGCTGTAACTCACAGAATTTAATCCTGGAATTTACACACAACATACATATGCACCTAAATACATACAGAGTATACATAAATATATATATATATATCTGGCTTCACTGCAATATGTATAGTTTTTTTCACTGAAGAAAGGCTTGAGGTTGAACAAAAAATAGTAAATACATTTTAAAAAGATGGTTTCTATATTTGTCTGTTAAAATGGGTACTGAGAGACCAGACAGAAAAGTTCAAATAATCCAGATTTATGCAAAATACTAACTTGTTCAGTCTATGATCCARCTTTCAAAGACTGATCAATCCAATTTCAATTGACTTTGATAAGCTGCTACAAATTTTCCAATTAGATATCAGGTCATTTATATGTTACTGTGCTTGGCAAKTATTATTTTTATGGCTTAATCCCAGCCTATTTCAGCAATGGGACCAGCAATCATTTTTATACAAGGAAAAATTACAGCATAATTAATTTCCACTGTATGRATTAAATGTGTGATTTTTTAAAATTCTCCTTAATTAGGCTAGAAATGTCCAGAGTAACATGTCAATGGCAGAACAGCTATGAACTTTTGAGTATTTTTTCATTAAAGAAAATTATAATCYGAACATAGACATAGTAATGTTTTATTAGTGGATATTTTTTAACATTTAGAAAAGGAATACCATTRGARCAAAATGCACTGAACACTGRAACKATGGCATATACAATGTATAYATATATATTTTTAAGTAAGAATTCTTTACTATTAAATTTGGGGCAATAGCTTATGTCATACAATYAAAGAACTTCCTTATTTTCCTCTCTGAGGCAGGCAGAATTCTAGATTTYTTTTAGAGAAAGTTGWCAGGTGGGAGAATATGYACTTTCTAAACATATTTATAAGATKGGKTTTTTTGTTGCTTGTTTCCTGAAACTCACCAGGATCTATCTTGCATTGTCTTGTGCCCAGTGCACTGAAAAAAAATCAAAATGTGTTGCCTTTGAAAATTAGGTAATTTTCTATATGAAAACAAGAGACAAATGAGTGGCACTAAGAAAGTGAAACAGGAATGGAAATGTTTCTGAAAATATTGTAAGTAGGATACTGTTAGATGGTTTKCTTTTAAATTGGGAATCCCTCTACTTTAGCTGTGTAGTTTAAGTGCATCTTGGAATTTCAAAAAGGCCTTGGTAACACTAATTATTTAGCATATGAAGCTATAAAGCATTACAAACAAATTCGGGGGAAGTGTTGCAGATAATCTGACTTTAAATACCAATTCTAGAAGAAAATAGACCTGACCATGAAGCATGTCTGTTCAAATGGTTAGAATGCACATTCTAAAAACCATGTTATGTTGGTGCCTCTATTACAGGAAACAGAACAAGAGACAATGCATTCACCTAAGCAAATCTCCTGGCTTYTACTAGTAAGCCATTTTCTCTAACCAGCAAGATTTTGGATTTTGTCTTATATAGRCCAACATCAAAAATGTTTGCTCTATCATTTCATTTGAATTATCCATTATAAATTACCATAACAAATATTCTACTATTGCCTATTTGACAGTGGCACAACTAAAATAGGTATTTACACTACCATTCTATTTTCAWTTTGCTATATTTAACTTGTCTGCAATATACATAAGAAATTCATAGGAAATKATCAACTTTCATAATTATCCTTTTTTTTTTTCCTTTAAAAGTCAAAGAAACAAAGCAAAATCATAACCCACAAGGAAATAAATCACATTTGTCTTCCTTGTTTATAGTACATTTATCAACCATCCCTGTGTTGGATTTGTAGAATTCTTTCTCTTACATGTATTTTGTTTGGTTAAGGATGATTCCCTGCAGCACRAGATAAAATTCAGTATCATTTAACTTACAGAGAAAGTATTCTATGGCAATTGGATTATGTGCTGTGAGGAAAAAAAAGGGCATGACTAAATTAAACATTAAAACCAAACTGCTAATCTGATTTCATCAAGCTGTGCAGAATTACAGTATTTTGGTACCTACTTGAGAGCTTGCTTTGACTGACCTTTAAAATTGAATAGAYATTTCTCTATTTAATCTATGGGGTATTTTGTGATAAAGTACATTTTTCTATCATGTTACAAATAATATTTATCCATGATAGATTGCACAGCCAATCTTGCTACTAATTATAACCCATTTCAAAGGCCCTCCAGCAAGTGATAGACAAAGGGAAAAAAAATTGTATTGTTTAAGGATGTTGAAGAAAAACTGCAGAACAACATTTTCATCTGGWATTAAAATTCTTTTGATTGCACTGATCACAAAAAGTTGGATTTCTTACAAAGGCCTGGCCTGCAAAGAAAGGCTAAAAGACTGCTGCAAATCTGTCTCAGCAGAAAGAAGCAGCAGTCAGAGAAGTAACTTTTTTCTCYCCAGAGTAGTTTGAGTCAGGCAAGAGTCCCAAATACTTTTTCCAGCCCACATTCTGAAATGCTGATGGATGATCTGTGCAAGGCAAAGCAACAGTGATGGGGAAAGGAGTGAAGAATCTTCAATGCCACGATATGGTGCTCACCACAAAACACCACCAATTGGTGCACTCCAAATGGAGACTCACACAGGGCCAGAAGAGAACAGAACCACAGTGAAAAATATCAACAGAGTGCCAGAAATCCTGAGTCAGGTCTCCAAACCCAGCTGAGCAACTGGCAGGTTTTCAACATCTGGGATGTGAGATTGCAGCAGATGGGAAGCCAGAGAGTGAATTAAAAGTCAAAGCAGAAGGAGGCTGTATTTTWAAAAAGGGAAGATATAACTGTTCTATACAGGGGGAAAACATAATTGTGCCTCAGAGATGAGAGGTACTATTTCAACTGGTACTTACAGAGCACAGGGAGCTCAAAATGTGCCTCGTGGCTTGTATTTCTACAAGTACACTCAATCAAAGTCTGGATTTATAGTGCTATCTCTTGGAGATATCTAGGAGAATCTAAGAAACGTTAAGAAGCATTACAAGAGAAAATCATAGCAATCAAGCACAAGCAAGGGATTTTGGGGAAYAGCAAGAATCAGATGTAAGCAAGGCATTAATTAGGCTAGTTGTATCAACATATAGAGAAGAACAGTGTTGGTAAAGTTTACCTTGGAGGAAAAAAATAATACAACAGCAAGGAAATAAATGAGCTTAAAAGCAGAGAGCATCTGCTTCAGTCAGCTGAAAGGAGACAGGCTGGGGGAGGCAATTGTTTGCTGCCAGTATCCTGCCACAGGAGTCTGGAAGGCTGACTGAATTGAKGAAGTGATAAATCTTTGCTTGTTACCACAGACTGATGTGTTACATCTTTTTGTATCTAAATAGTTTTTACTGAAGTGTTTTCAATCAGAAAGGATGTTTCTCAGGTGGAAGGCTATTTCTTAGGTGGAGGGACGTCCTAAGTAATAAGGAAATAAATTTTGTTTCAGTAGACAGTAAAACCAATCATTCCAAAAAAAGGAAAGGTTGACTTGAGATAGTGAAAAAACAATTTATCTCAATACATATYACATTCACATTCACTGACAGCTAAAATCAATATTCATACAAACTGAAAGAAGGGACTAAGCAGAGGGAAAAATAAATCCCCAACCCTCCCCCACAAACACCCATGAATTTTAAAAGTATGCAATAAATTTTAACATGATGAATGAGGGCCTCTAAGAACTCTGAAGGGAGGATTGAGTTTCAACTCAACTTGGCAACAACAATCAATTAGGATGCACCTACCTGCATAAGTAATCAGGCTGATTTTYACCCCATACTGTCTGTAAGGAGGTAAATCAGGAAAGATTTGTGACTCATCACAAAACCGTTTTGTGCCAAGTAAGATTCATGATTTTTGCTCTGTGTAAACAAAATATGTTCACAACCTATCTTCACTTCAGCTTTTAAGTATGACAGTTATTAATATTTCTGAATAAAAYGTATTTTTCAATGTACATAATTAGTGATCTAAATAATATTTTACATAAATACAGGGAGTGAAACTGCACACAAAATAAAATGGAAAAAAATAGCTGATGTTGTTTCCTTACATTTGTTCAACATTTTGTTACTCAGAACTTCACTGGCTGGCATCTACTACTATAAAGGAAACACATTTTGATTTGGAAGGATCAAAAGAAAGGTATGGAGCTCAGATTTTTTTTTTTGTTCCTTTTTCAAAGCCCTTTCAAGTTGGGGGAAATTCATGCATTGTCACCTCTGAGCACAATGTGATATTGGCAGCTGCTTCAAGCYGGCTGCGATGTGCAAAGTTCACTATCATGACTGGCTGACTGCTCAACTGTCAAGGAAAAATTAACAAATACAAAAATGGGAACATGTGGCAGTTTTAGAAACACATTTTTCAACAAAGCCTACTGTGAGCTATAGACTATTGCACATTTCAATATGACACAAGGAAAATAAGGGGTTCAAAAGAGAATACACTGTAACATAGAAATACACAGACTAGCTTGTGCACAGAAATCAAAACATGGTTACAAGACACCACTGCAGTCAAACCTGTCTTATAGTCTGCTTATGATCTTAGTGACCTTAAGAAACTGGTCCAAACTGATTATCAGCAATACTYTTTTTGTTACTTTTTTTTTAAAAAAATATTTTGAGACCACATCTTTGATACACATATATATATTCCGTGGTCAAAACAGACAGACTTAACTTTAGCGATACTAAATAAAAGTGCAAAAACATTCAAAAAATAAAACAAAATAAAAAAATATGGAAGCATAAGCTAAAAATTTTCTGCATAGCTGAAATCTAAAGCGAGTCCTTGGTAGGGGTTGCTGACAGGAGGAGAAAGCAGTTTTTTTAAAATGTCTTCTGCACGTTTGTTTCAAATAACACAAAAAAAAAAAAGGTCATTTGTCGGCTTTTGCAATATTTCACAGGCAGTTCACCCCTGCGTCCTTAGAGACCATGGTGGTGGCAGTGCCCCCCTCTGCAAGGTAGACAGCAGTGCTGGATTTGGGGGGCAGAGGCTGCTCACTGGCGTTGTTGTTGACCTCGCAGTGCAGCGGCTCTGTGGAGATGACCCACGTTGACGGACGCCACCGCTTCAGAGAGTACGGTGTTTTCACACGTTTCTTGATCTTCTCTCCTGAGCCTGATTTGCCATCCTGTAAGGAGTCACCTACTGAAGGAAAAAAATCCAAACCAAAACAAAAAAAAAAACAGAACAGAAAATAGTATTATGAGGAAGGTAAGATTAGACTGGAGTGAAGGGTTGTTATTTATGTGAAACACAACAAAAGAACAAAATCTTTAAAAACACAGAGCAACTGTGTGGCAGAGGCAGGACAGGTGTATCAACTACAACAGCTGCCACTAAAACAAAGGGTTAGATTCTGTTCTCTCTCAGAAATTACTTCAGTGAAGTAATTTGTATTACCTGGAATGCACATTGGCATCAAACRGGAGAATCAGCATTTGACATATGAGGGACTTTTGCAATCATAGTATCTTATATTACCTGTAATGGGAGGCACAAAAAAATGTTGCTACTAYAGGACAGCAAAGGCTAAAATTTAAATAGTGTAATTAAATGTTAGATCCCCTAATCCTACTCCACCTGGCAAAGCATTTCACCTGAAGACAAAATGGTYCATTCTCTGTTAAAATCTTCAGACAGGATTTGGAATGCTGGGTTGCAAAACTGGCAAAACCAACTTTAATCATGATAAAACTTCAGCAGTAAAAGTCTGATTGTTAAAAAACCTTTACACAACCCCTTCTTTTAACTTAACCTTCAATTAAAGAAAGTCACTGTGATAATATTTTTTCTTTATCTAGGCAAGATTTCAACTCACATCAACATGTTAAGACAAAAATTAAGGTTTTCTACTTGTAAGGAAGGCTTAAAAACTCCATTACTGACTATTCAACCACATTTCTTGAAAGATACGTTCTGGTTTCATTTTMAACCTTTGATTTAAACCAAAGATGCCTGGTACTCCAGTTTGTTCCACGAGTATCACAGCATCTTTCTAAATAAACACAAAAATCTCTAAAGAGATTTGCAAGCACTTTCAAAACTAYAGTAACTCCTGGAAAGATATTTTCTTTAAAATGCACATCAGGAGTTCTTTCCAATAGTTCAAACAGGATCAAATGCAGAGGATGTACCTAATTTAACTACATGATTACATTCTCACTTTGAAAAAAGAGAGCCCCGTTGTAACCTGTTAGACCTCTACTCATAAAACTCTTAAGGAAAGTTATTCTGAAATAGACTGTYAAAATAATTTCCTTCTCTAATTACCTGAATTAATTTTTATGTACATAATAAACTGATGATGAATTGCTCTAATTGTTGAARCTAGGACAGTAAATGGACCCTCCATTTAGGCTGGGCTGATACAGTAAAACCAGTTGTTTTAAAATCATGAAGCATATAAATAGTTATTATAATAAATTATTTTAATCAATGCATCTTAGAGACAGCTAGTCTTGGGAGAATGAGGAAAAGTAAGGAAAAGGAGAGCTCCTATAATGTGCTCCTGCAGAAAAATACAGCACACTTTTTCAATATGCTTTGCAGCAACTAAAGGTAGGAGCCTTGCAAGGAATAATGGAAGTTAACCTAGAGTCAGAGTAGATGGGTTAGAAAGAGAGAGATTTATTCTGTGTATGTGAAAGGATGATAGTGATCTAACATACTGGAAATGATGGAGACAGGATTTATCAAAAAGACTGAAATCATGCTGAGAGAAATGGRATTTATATGAGATTTAATAAGAATGCTTGGAGGAGAGAGAGRAGAGACGGAAGTAATTTCTATTCAAGCAGATATATGCAGCTATTAGGTAGAAAAACATCAGGGAAATGTTCAGTCCTGCAGACACTTACACTGCATACTACTGCTATCCAAACTACTTGTGGCTGACAGATCCAGCGAATTAGGCCTCTGTGCTCTTCTAGTCTGGCTCTGCCCAGGATTCCTCACTACATTCTGGATGCTGGCAGCAGCTGTGTCTGGACAGGGATTGCTGTTGTTGTTGTTGGCGTTTGTTCGGCCGCTGTCCAGTGGTCGCTCCCTCCTGTCCACCAGGCGGTCCAGAACGCCTTCATCGTGGCCAACCTGCTGCTCCCTCCTCAGCAGGGGCTCGTGCTCATCRGGACTGGAATTGATGTTGAGCCGACTATCCTCCCCGCTGAACTGGTTCTGAAGCATTTCCTGGGCCCTCTGTGTCACTGAGCTGCTGGGCTGGCTGGAGGGCACCGTGCCGTTGGCATACTGGGTGGTGCCAGCATGACAGTTTATGCCGTGGCTCCTGCCAGCCACTCCRTTCATGGTCACTGTCACAACGTGAGGCTCTGCGGCGTTGATAGTGTTCATCTTGGCAACGCCCGTTTCCACTTGCTTCAAGTTTGATTTGTGCTTGCCACCAAATTTTAACCGTGGCTCCTTTGTTGAATTTTTGGTGTTTAGAGGGAGGCTAGTAGGCCTCTTGGGAAGGTTCTGTTGCTTGGGTAGAGGATAGACCTGAGCGGATGGGACATCTGGAATCAAACACGCCTGACTGTTGCCAGCTTGTGTGAAGTCCTGCTGTCCTGTCACCTCTACTGCAAGTTTTATCAGYGGATAAAGCAAGCTGGAACTAGTGCTGCTGAGTGGATCTGGCCCACTGAACTGCTTAAGTGAATGTTCCATCAGATTCTCATCAGAGCTTTCTTTCAGGTTCTTATCCACTTCTTTTGGATCCAATTTATTTGTCTCCAAGTCCTCCTCTGTTAGCTGCAGACAAACAGGGGTGGGCCCACCTGGCTGCATGACATTTGTAGTGTGTAAATTTGTTTCATCCAAATAAGGCATTTCGGATATGGTGGTCATGCCAGTGCTAGGAGTGAGGCCAGCTGTRTTGGTGGTGGACAAATTGGTGACGCTTGTCTCAGGACTAGGGATGCGAGCTTGGGCTTGTTGCCGCTCGTAGTTAATGGAATTTCTGTTCTTTTCCCCTGAAGTCAATGGTGTAGTGGACATTGAATGTTCAGAAGAAATGTTCTTCACTATGCTGTCCGTGTGGTGGATTGAATCTTCAATGTAGGAAGAGGAAGAATAATCTGGATATGGCCTTATCTTTGATACACGTCTATGATGYGTCAGATTCCTTTAAGAAAAAGTAAGTGATATTAAAATCACACGTGTAAAAATCACCTCATACTATAAAGTCTCTCATTTAAGAGAGCTGAGTGTCTTTGTTTCTTTCCATGCATAAACTAAGGACAGATACAATACAAACTAAGATATTCCAGCAACTTCCTTGAAAAGTCCTGGGGATATGAAAATTTATTTTATTAGGGCAAAATCTCATCATGGATGTTATTTCCTAAGAGAACAGTAATTTTCTTCTATTTGTCCAACTGACTGCTAAGGCACTCTAGATGGAGAGAAGTGACACTGAAGAAGGTCAACAAAAACCCAAAAGACAAGATAAGAAAGTGATGCTGGGAAAATGTCACAAGGTCCTAATCCATGAAAACTCTACTATTTAAACAATTTAGGTAGTCTATGATTTCAACAAAATTTTTTTCATGACAATAAGCACCGTCAGATATAGCAACATTACTCTTCTCTCAATCCAGATTTCCAGAGTGTATTATTAAACACTAAAGTCAGTTTTGCAAGTCCTGACTCCCTCTGGATCATGTATAAGCAGAGAATKTGCAGCACTTCTCTTGCTGAGATCAGAATAACAATGACTTAAACAWTGGCCCTGCAGTTCATTAACTGAAAAACTACAGGTTTGGGACATGGTAATTTCTCAAACTCATACTGAATGCAAATGTACAGTTTTTAGCAGAACACTTTGAGCAGAAGTTTTACKCATCAATTAGCAAATGTACTTAAAGACAATCCACTTTGTCACTGCATATCATGGTAAGCCTGCTGAGACAGTTTGCCTAAGCTCAGCTTAAAAGGCTGTTCAGTAAGAAATACAGTTGTTTACATGAAAGGTGCCCAAATTCTGGGAACACACAGGATATCCTAAGAACACAAACAATTGGGATCATGTCACAAAATACCATATGCAAACTAGGTCATGTAACACACACTGACTCACGAATGCAGCAAGCTGTAGCACTTCTGTCCTGGAACGAGCCAAGCACTGCATTGGGTATTTCCTGCTGACTAAACCCAAATGTGTTCACCTCTTACCTCTCATTTTGCATGGCAGTTGACATTGGGTTGACTGTTGGACTAACTGATTTATTTCTCTCCCAAATCATCATGAGTTCTGCCATTCTCTCCTCAGCACACTGTGCTGTTAGTCGAGCTTCTGCATCTTGATCCCAACAGTCTTCAATTGTYTCTTTAAGTGACCTCACAGCCTGCCAGGAGACAAAAGCCCTTTAACTTATTTTACCTTTATATTGTGCTTCCAATTTATGGCAGCATTCTGCATACATGAAAACAGTCACAAACTGGTGAAGAAAGAAAAGATACACAATTTCATTCAAAGCTGATTTAACCTAAAAATAGCAATATGCAATGTCTCATACCTCACACACATTACCAASTGGGAAGACAATGACTTAGGAAAAGCCACATTCACCAATGCCCATAYAATCTTCAGCTAGTCCTCTGATGGATGCATGCTCAGCTCACTCTCCTTGCTTTATGAGAGCTGTATACTAAGGATTGCTGRTATTTTGGAAATGTTGCCATGGTTATTCTCACAGTTCTGCTAATGGTCACTGCCTTGCTCCCTTGCACTGTATGCAAATAACACCATGCTCACTTCATCATCCTTTGATTCCTCTGTTCACCACAGTAACATTCAACTGTCTCATAAGAATCAATGAATTTCTCTGTGCCATGGGAGCAGATTTTTTGTTGCACTTGTATTACAGGTGGAGAAACAGAAACACACACGTGTTCCTGGCATCACACTGTGGGATCAACTGTACAGTCAGGATTAGAACTCAAGACCTCCAAAACGTGCTGCCATATGTTCAGGGAAACAGAGAGGATACAACTGAAATGACGAGCACTGAACACTTCTGTTTCTACTTCATCTGGAGTACAAAAGCCAGGCAGACATTTCTGGGCCCCTGATGCCAGTCTAYGTCCCATGGAGAGGATCTGGTCTGCCAGAACAACTCACATCTACAGCCCAGCTTTTAACCTTTCCAGCACTGAGGACTGTGCACAATCCCAGCTGGGCACTGGGGCATTCAGTGGGTCCTGCTGCCTGCCTCTGGGCCAGAGCTGCCTTGTGCCCTTCTGGCACTGGAAGCCAGGGCTAGCTCCAATATGAGCCAAGAGCTCCTCACCCATGGAGAGGCTCCTGGCATTGCTTGCATTTGGCAACCACTGCTGCTTGGCAATGCAGCTCTGGCTGCACAGGTGGGGACCAGCTCCCCCACAAGKGAACCTTTCATCTCCCCACAGAGGATCACAGAGGGGATAAGCCAACATTCTTCCCTTAGCTGAGGGACACGAGTCTAAAGGCATCCTCAGGGACAAGGACAAGACAGGGTACTGGATCCATTTTCTCTCCCACAATAAAATGTCTTCATTCAGCTTTTAGGACTTGATTTTATCACAATTTATACTAAGTATCTAAGTCACTGGACACTCTAATCTGCTGGCCTGTCTCTTTACAAGACTCCTATGGGTTTTCCCAGCAGCAAATTCAACAAGTGTTTCATTTAATATTGTCGGTCCTCTAGCATATCCTTTCCTTTTGATGTTCTAAGGATCACAAAAGGAACACAGTAATGACTGTAGAGACATTTTGCAAAACTAAAGTTCTTGAGCTTCACATTTACCACAGTTATGTTTTCTATTAATTCCAGGTTTGAAGACAACTATATTAAAGTGCAYTATTTACAAGTACTAGCACTCATCGAAAAGACAGAAGGGACCATCAATCCACATTATTCTGTTATTCTGTTAATACCCTTCAGTGCTGACCTCTGAAGTCAAGCATGGACTCCAGACAAGAATACACATCTCAACACAGTTTATAGCCCTTGAATTATTTTATGTACATCCTCTGCTCAGGTTGTTACATTTTACTGTGAAAAACAATTCTGCTAGTAGTCTGTAACATAACACAGATAGTTCCAAAAGCAGACTGACACTGCAGAGGTAAACACATATTCAGGATTACGCATCTTTTGAGTGCCTTAATCATGTCATCTAAAAAATAAAACACTTTTTWATTTGTATTTCTCAATTGAAATGGACAAATGCATTTTAACAGATGAATTTGCACGAAGGTGTCGTAACCCAACATGTCAGCAGAGGTTTAAATAATGGAAAAAAGTATTTTATCCCATGCATTAGATAGAGGAGGGTGGGACCTTGGTCCAGAATGCGATTATCTGGAGCTTAGTTTTCTACACTATCTGACCTAGAGTGCTCATTCAAATGTTACCCTAGACTGACATAGGAAAGAGGAGGTTGTTTGACACCCACTTTTCTCTTAAGGCAATGGCGTAGATCAGTCCTTAGAGCTGGAGTTATCATCACCATTTTGATTATTTGGAAAAAAAATCAGTAAAAGCACAAGTAATGTATTAGGCAGTTTAAATGGGGATCATCTAATAGTGCTGGAGTCTATCAGCTTGTTAGAACATAATTAACATTTAAAAAGGTAGTCTGCAAAACAAAACAAACCTTCTTGAGCTCTTTTAGTTTCAACTGTCTTCASAAACAGCTGTCAAGCTTGGTTCCTCCAACACTGCATTTGCCAACATGGCTATAGTTAAAACAGCTGCTGTTTGATTTCCTTAATACTTTGGGCACTGATCCCTCCTTTTCCCTCCTTTGCCCCCGAGACTGGCTGGCCAAAAGTGCCTAATGAAAGCAGCTCTCCTCGAAGCTCCCAGCTCAGTTACAACATGTTTTACTGCAGTGTAGCACTGCAGGCTATGCTCCTCTCTGAAAGCAGGTTCCTACATATTTACAAGTACCAGCACAGGTGAGSCCTTGGGCTCCTCCCAGTCTGCACAGCAGCTACCAACTTATCAACCACCAAAGTCTCTGAAGATTGAAGGGCATAATTTCAATAAGGGAATAACTGAAATGATCTTTTTAAATAACAGTCAAGTATGCCATTTTCATACTTGCAATTAAGCCATATTACCTAAAGCAAGTTACCATGTATCAGGTGGAACCCAGTAACTGTGTGCATTTCACTTTGCTGGTAATAAAAGACAAACATCCTCCTCCAAGCCAAGGGGATTCTCATTACCTGACCTCTGCTGCAGATAAAAGCAAGCACAGGCTCTCACCAGAGTTCAGCTGACTTGCCTTCACTTGTTGGCCTGCAGCAGCAAGGCTCTAAGCCATAGCTTCACTAATTCAAAACAACAAACAATACTGTGATGTTTATAGTCTTGAAAATAAAAACTGATGATCAAATGAAGCCATATAAAAGCTTTAATGCAGTTATAATGAAATGATTGCTAGAAGCTTTAGCCTCTGCAAATTCTGAGTACTACAGAAGTTCTAAAAAGTTTATTACAATGTTTACTGATTTTAGTTTTGGAAGAGGTTATTGATATTTCTGCCAGCTATTTTAGGGTTTTATTAGTTTATAAGATGTCAAAAGGCMAAAATTGCCTTCACATTTCTCATTCAGCACACAGAGAATACATGGACATTTAATGCAGGATATTACAGATAGTGTCTAAAAATTAATGTAAAATGTTGTCTTCAGTGTATCACACTGCAGCATCCAGCAACAAACACAACAATAATAACATTATTTTTCCTTGAAAGAAATCTAGTTTTCATGTCAATAACTTTTAAAAACTGAATTMAATATTTAAGAAGTCCAGGTAGAAATAGCTCCCAGTCCTTAAATGGTAACATACAGGAAAAAAACGCCAAAACCTAAAAAATTGCTTTTAAGAGATTAGTATACTCTAATACTGGTTAAATCACTGTTTCTTTGCAAATTATTCTGTCTCACCAGGCTATTCTCCTTCCATGCTTCTGGGAATTTTGGTCTTTGCTTCTCTCTAGACACCAAGACTTGCATATCTTCAAAAGTGGGATGGTTTCCGACTTCAGTCTGGAAAGCCATCTGGTACTCTGGCACAGATTCCCCTGTTAGCAAARGAAAGAAAGGGGAGAAAAAAATCAATCACAGATTAAAAGGCAGAGCAAAGGCTTTCAGTTGATGAAAGGCATTATCAAAGTTGCTGTCTACTGAGATGTTCCCCACTTTCCCCACAATCTAACTTCCAAAAAAAGCTAAACTAACTGCAAATGAATTAAGTGATGTTCAGCAGCCTTTCAAAAGATAGGTTCAGTGGCACATTTGGAATGTCTTGGAGCCCGAGGATGGCACCTACTTTCTGTGAAACACCACCGACTGATTTTATTCATGTACTTTATTCAGGAGGAAGCTCAGCAAGATTACAAGCCTCTGCACATAAAATACAGCAGTTTGATTGTAAAGAGAATGCTGTATTTTATAGAATGAGAACGCTCATTCTGAATGCTGCGGCTTGGGAAGAAGATGGTGGATGTGGCACAATCTCACATTTAAATTTTAAGTGCCCTTTCTTTTGTTTTGTTTTACAGGCATGGAGTATTTCCCTGAATTTTCAATATCACTATCATAAATAAAAGTATGACTGACTTAAGTCTACCATAAGTCAGCATTTTTTCATGAGGAAAGTCTGAAAGACACTTCAGGCACGTTTATCAGTTCTAAGAACTGGAAGTGCTGCCTTTGCCATCAGCCTAACTCTCAATGTTTTTAAACTCGAGACAATAATAACAACGATAATAATGCACAAATGGCTCTTAGAAGGCCTGCAAACTGCCTGAACAGGTCATTTCAAGCCTTTCAGCAGCAGCCACGCCTCGCCCTCAGATGTATGGTCCTGACAAGCACCACCTCGAACACTAGATGGCACCGACTTAATGGCAATTCAGAACATCTCTTCCCTTCTTCATTTTCAAAAGCTCAGGCTCGGGAGCAGCTTTGGTTGTTGGTGCCACTTCCTGCTATCATGGTTTTTTTCTGCAGCTCTTTTAGTTACCTGGGAAGAGGTCTGTACATCTCATGAATATCTCCCAGTAGATCAGGCCCAGTGCATACATGTCCACTTGTTTCAAAGCAGATTCACAGTCCCTCAAGTTCACTGCTCCTTCAAGCACTTCTGGGGCCATGTAGCGGATTGTACCAACCTGGGAAAACATAAAACTAAAGCTTCAGCAACTATCAAATTCAATTTAATTTTTAATACCCTTTTCTGCTTCATATTTTCTACAGTTAAGGAAAATGCAGCTCGTTCCTAATCAATGTGCTCAGCTTTGAGACTCTTATCAGTCTAGTCATAACATAACYCTTCCTCTACTCTGACACTTTTTTGTATGTACCAAAACAAAATTATTTTTTCCCTTACTTAATGTTCTCATATAAAATATGAAATAGTAGAAATGTTCCTTTTTCCTGAAATTACTGTTAAAAACCAAGGTATGTATCATAATGGAAGAAGATCCTGCTGAATAGGAAACTTGTTTTCTGCCTGCAAGGCTCCACCTTACATATTCCACAGTCAAARGTCATTATAGGGAAGATACCTATTMATTTTCACTGGCACATGTRTTAGATTAGAGCACTTACTCATCAGGGCTTGTAGGACAGTATTTTGTTAAAGGACTATTCCATATCCCTGCATTTTAACCAGCAGTTTCCCTGTTTCTTTGTTCACTATGGGGAGATCTAAAAAGAGCTCTTCTGCACTAGGTATTGTCAATTTAGCACTTGCTTTCTAAGGGAGGATGACTAGCACTGTTAAAAACATTCTTTGAATGACATACGAAGCTCTTCTGTGAAAGCACAGAAAAACAACATCTTTGTTTAAAACAYTCTCACTGTACTTCAGTAGCCTGTATTAGATTTCAAGTAGAAGATGTAAAATATGCTATGTCACCATTCCARAAAAATGAACACCAAAATCACCAAAAACTGCTTTGTCTTCAGTTAGCACTTGCAGTACAAGACTGAAGGGACTTGTATCACATTGTCACAGAAAACATGGCAACCAATCCTAAGTTGTGTCTTCTCATATCTGACACAGGAACTTCAGTCTGCCAATCTATCACCTTTCTAAATTGCAGGCTTCTGTTAAGTATTTTGAGAATAAAACGAGTTTCTTCCTATGGAAGCCACAGCCCCTTCTCACCCATACTGCAGTCAGTCCCCATTAGAGAAATTATAGCACCTGAACATTCATACAACCATATGTACTCACCTCACTAATGGCTGCATTGTCCTCCTCCCCTGGTCGTACCAGTCTGTTTCCAGTTAACTTCATGGAGAGCCCAAAATCACTGATGACACATGTTCCATCGTTCTTCACCAGCACATTGCGGCTGTTCAAGTCACGATGGGATATTGCAGGTTTGTAATGGTCTATTTGGACACACAAAAGTGCTCGTTACTATTTGAGCAATTCTACTGTTTGCCAAAATGAGAGAACCTCATTACATCTCTCAGCTATCATAAACAGCGAATCAACTTATTTTTTAGAAAGCCAATGTTTTTGCTTCTTTACAATGASCTCCAGAGTAAGCTATCTAGAGAAAGCTGACTGGCATTCAGAGTTGCACTGTTATCTATACAATATATTAGGCTACWGCTAYATACAGTTCTAATGTTTGCCAGTGSTCTTCTTSTCAAGGGAAATATCAGCATGGTTTTGCAGTGGAGMCATTGTGTCCTTAAAGACAGACCTGCTGCCACAGCCCTAACAGCCAYTCCAAATACTGTCTGTCATTTCCACACCCCTGTGTCAAATATAGCTGATTATTCACATTATTGGAATTATCATTGTCACCTATTCAGAAGTTAAGCAGACAATATTATTCCAGARAGTCTGAACATGTTCATCTTGCAAGGGATCTGATCTTTTCAAAAAAATTATCTCCATTGTTCCTAGTTTTTATTTCTTTTGTTAGTAAAGGAGTATGGAATTAATTTTACTGTGGAATTTATTCTACTCCATGAGTTTCTTRCTAGCATTAACAGACTGTGGTTGTCTCTCCTTAATGATGGAAGGCTTGCACATTTTCTGGCTGCYAATGGACACACCTGTCTGCACATTTCAAAATTATGACGTTAGGATGATAGCTGCTGTTTCAATGGCACATAGGAATACTGATTTGGGTATTTTCAGCACTTTTAATAGCATCTTTAGCTGTCATTCTTTGTTAGTGCTGATGCTGAACATTTGAAATATATAGTTTGAAATTTTAATCCAAACATTAGCACCTCAACGTAGATATAATGAAACCAGTCCTTTATTTACTGTCAAAAACCTAACACTTCAGTGCCTAGGCCAAATTCTGCAGCCTGATACATCACAGATCTCAGAATATCTACTTTATAATTMTGATACTTCAGCTGCAGAAATACTGGCTGGAGTATGCATGCAGAGATATAAAGATACTAATCAATACGTTGTCACAGCCAGAACACTAATAAAGCACCAGAAGTCCAGCATTATTCTTTGTACACAGCAAAGACTAGGCCCAAACCTTCAGACAAAAATCCAGAGACATGAGAAATAAAAATACAGTAGACTTAGAAGATTAAATGATAAAAAATATAGTTCACACAGAAACTAAAAATTGCTTTGGTGATTTGTTTCTGAACTGCAAAAACAGATAGAGCACCTCATCTGTTTGCCCTGTGCTAGAGAGGCAGCCAGTGCTTCAGCTCTTCAGCAATCTGTTGCCATGATACAGCAGCACTGCACAACTCTGCCTCCTCCTCCTCCTCCTCCTCCTCCTCCTTCCTCTCCCAGGGGCTCTCCAAGTTCATATTCTGTGTTTTCATAAAAGGGTCACAGACACAACCCATCACACGGGGTTCTTCACAAGGAAGGAACATATCAGAAGTTCTGAGATATCTCAATTTGCATTCATCATTTCCTACTCACAGTACTGTCACAGAGGAAAAAAGAAAAGCTGGGATCTACTAGCTGGTAGAAATAGGAATATATTGGAGATGTTGGCATCCCTTTCTGGCCTTACCTCCTCGAGGCAGCTCCGTGTGCAAGTACGCCAGGCCCCGAGTTATTGAGTGTGCCAAACGACAAGAGCTCACCCAGTCACTTGTATGGAGACTCAAATATTTGCCCAAAGAACCCTAAAAAGAACCCCCCCAAAAAAGACAAAACAAAAAACATGGATTAAAATCACTGTCCAGTAGAATAAAGCTAAATAYTTTGGAGACTCAGTTTTATCCACTRCTTCTAAAAKGTACAAACYTGCAACTGCTTATGTGTTTACCYACATGYTCTAAAACACMAGATTGGACCAAAGTTTTATTAAATTTCAGTGTTGCYATTTCATTTCTCTTAAGTGGAATAGAAATTTTGTCACAGAATAACAGCAATTRCCTGTAGAAAAATTATATTAATTATAAAAATCTCATTGCAGAATTGAAAAAAGGGGACTGCCAATGTAACAGCCTGGGTTTCTAAAAAGTGGGCTTTAGACCATTAGCACTCAGGGAATACATAACATCTCTCACTGGCCATGCTACAATCTATTTATGTATCAAAACAAAAATCACCTMAAAGAAAATTCCAAACAAGAGCAAGTCCACATGCACTAAAGAAACACGGAAAAAGGACTGCCATGTACCTGTTCTCTTGAAAGACAAGTTCTATGTGTAAAATGGGGGCTATTCTAGTAATTTGTCATGAAATCTCAAAGAAAACCAGAAGGAAGTGTGTCGATTATGATATTAAGATACTCTAGAAGCTGAGGCTGCTATCCAAAACAAGAGCCAAACCCTGCAAACTGGGACACCTCTGATGCACAGTCCCAGTGACAATACACTTAATTTAAATAAACTAAATCCTCAAGCATGAAGGACAAGTCATCTGGCCAACTCTGCATGTTTATTATACTTTTAGAACTACAGACTACCCTGAYTTTGCCTATTTAAGTCTGTAATCTTGAAGATGCACCAATGTATAACATGAGATGCAACTAAATACATATAATTGCAAAATAAGTTCTATAACTTTCGGTTCATAAAATTTAATCTGAATCCTCAGGAGTTGACACTCAGGTATGTTATGCATGCACAGTTCAGTTGGAGGCACACAGATACAGAATTTAAAGTGACCAAAGTATTAGACATTTTTTTAATCCAGTGCTAAGACTAAAACCAAGTCCTTGACAGGACAGTCCTTAATAGAATCACAAAAATCTTACACCTTTTCAGATTAGTCTSTGCAGAAAACAAGGAATCCCTAAATAGACAATGTCCCCAGTGAAAACACAGACCAAAAGTCACTCATGGAAGTTTACATAAGTATTTTTTTCATTGTTTAAAATGCTGTTATATGAACTTCAAAGTGATCGTGTAATACATTAAAAAAAGCTGTGAATTCATCTAGAAATAAGGAATCCACCTAGAAATAAAGGAATTCCACTTTTTTTCCTTAGTGTTCACAGCTTTTTAGGAAATACAAGCACTCTTACTAGACTCCAAATGTCATCAACTTGTGTTTTTTTCTTGGCTTAATGGATTGAGATTCCAGCCCATTTTAATGGAGGCCACAGKACTGTTACTATGATGTGACTGGGAAATACTCACCGTATTAAGATCTTTAACCACCTTCAAGATCTTTGTGCTGCTGAGATGTTTTTTAGTCTAGTTAAAGGCTGTGATTTTATGCTTTTAGTGAAGTTCAATATAAATGACAACCAAGAGAAGTTTTAGTCAAGATTCAGACACAGATTTATTTGTAATTAASACTACCTTGTCAGAGTCATGAGCTRCATGTTAMATTGGGGATATTTGTTCTGATTGTAGCTTTTGATAAAACTGATGTTTTTAACAATCAGAGATTCTATTTGTTTTAGAACAATTTTTCTATTGTTCTAAAGGGACATGAGTGTCTGACTACTGAAGAGGTAATTCTGTGGCTATTACGTATTTCCTATGCCATCCCTCACAACTTACTCCCTTACTGACCTCCTACACCTCAGCGTCTCATCAGAACAGCATGCTGATTGATAAATACACAAGATCATTCCTTTCACTTGCCTATTTTCTTTGTTCTGACAGCATGTTTGCATAATACAGCCTACAGTGTTTAAYAATACAGCCTAAGTCAAACCTATTCGTCTTGTTTTCGCCAAGGTAACAGCAWGAACAATTTTCTGTGTAAAAATGCCCTGGTTTGTGTGTTCTTAYTTCCAAGAGGGAAAGTATTTTGAAGGAGAGCGATGTTTTGAATGGGAAGTATTTCACCTGCACATCTTGTATTGTTTAGTCCTTATTGAAATCAGATTTATGRCTCCAGTTTGAGCGCTGCAATTCCCTTCTAGCAGGGCTGCCACAGCAGGCTTCCTTCGCTGCTGTTAATTCCACATACAGCAGAACATCTGCTCACTGAATTACAGATCACACTGTGCATTAATTACACCTGCTGTGCACTTTTTCCAATGACTTCCAAATAACCAGTGGATTGATTTTAGACTAATCTTGCTGTTCCTAATACCACATTGGGAAAGAATTTGATAATATGATGTTATAAGCTTCATCTGTACATTTAATCAGGTCATTAACAGATCCTGTTTAGATGAGCAACAAGACACAATTTTCTATCAAATTACATTTCAGCTGAAAATCCTTTCATTAAAGAAAACAGCAAACCTAGRTTACCTGTGAAGATAGTTATGCTATGCCCTCCCAGGAGTAGAATACTTACTTGATTTTACTTAACTCAATTACTTGTAAATATGTCACTTTTGTCAGAGCCACATGCTTTGCCATTGTCCATCTGGTATGGGCACATCTGACCTTTTTCATGTTATTTCTAGATTCCGCAATCTCTTCCTACATGCCTATCTCTTACAAGCTGACATGATTGAGTGTGTTCTCACAAGTTTCAGTTAAKATACTCTTTATATATTTGTGCTATATTGCTTTAAATTTGTATATAGTGTATACRTGTGTAAATACAAACCTATGTTTAAGGTATGGATTTACAGAGATGCATTTAACTTTCAACAAAAGCATATACATAGAGCCTAAAAACACTAAAGACAGGCCATCATTACTGCTACTTAGCATTGTTCTGCTCCTTTTTGCTATTCAAATAAACAGCTTTTGTCCTACTGCCTCTGTAAAAGATCAGGCTTCAGCCACCCCCTTTACATCCTGCAGGAAATACATTATGAATTTGCTTACTTGAGACCAGAAAGCTCATTAATAAAAAYTATTGAACTACATAACTGAAGTTCTTTCCCATGCAAAGGCAAAAAAAACTCCCAAGATAAATTGTGACACATTCTTTTTTCATTTTAATTTAGATATATATACATAACCCCTGTATACATTTTATTTTTCATGAAAGCTATTCACATTTATACTCCATATTTTTAAAATTTCTGTTTCTGWATATGTGTGTACACTCACAGAACATTAGGAACTCTAATCCATGAATTTGAGAAATATAAGCATTCAGTTAGCGAAAAAGATTTGAAGATATGGTTCTAGAAAGTCAGGCTGCCTTCTTAAGACATGTCCTACATCATCAGCATWTGCCCCAGAAAGCTTTAAAGAACATAACAGGATAAAAAGGCACAATGATTTATAGCACCACAAACTAGTCTGACGACAATCTTGGATCTATTACATTTCATTGTAAAAAAACCCACTATTTACAGCTATTGAGTGAGGTCATATGACAATTACTTAATAGTAAGAACTTTTAAATTTATTAAATTATTTTAAAGTAAAAACAACTCTTCAAATTCTGTTGTTGAATAAGGGCAGAATTAAACAACTCTTCAAATTCTGTTGTTAAGAAGGACAGAATTGACTAAAAAAACCTTTTACCACAATCAAGAGCAAAAGCTCCAGAGCTAAGAAATTTTAAGACTACATTTGGTAGAATGGACTGGGAAATCTAAAAGGATATTACAGTAACCCACAATAAKGTGCATTAAAATTGTAATTTATATGGATTATTTTTACATTACTGTGCAAGAAGCACCATCAAAACTCAAAGTACATCCTTTTTATGTGGCTACTCTTAGGATTCTTAACCAATCCAATTGATTTCTTTGAAGCACTTACATTGGGGTAATATTCCATCACCAATAAATATTCCATGCGGCCGTCTGCAGTGAATCTCTCATCTCCCACAATGAAGCGGGCAATGTTCTCGTGTTCCATCAGTGGAATCCTGTAAATGTTCCTCTCATTGACAAAGTTCTGACGATTTGCAAATGAAAATACTTTCACAGCAACTGGACGTTCATCTAAGGAACCTTTATACACAGCTCCATATCGTCCCCGGCCAATCAACTGCAAAAAATAGAAATGATTAGTTCACTAAAGAATAGATGAAGACAAAATCCAAGTTTTCATTTTACAAGAATTGTATGCCAACTTTTATCCTGACTAATAGTATAAGAATAGTGAAGATAGTGAGTATTTTGTAATGAACATCAGAACTGGAATGCTGTCATGAAGGCTATTTTGGAGCTGGAAACGCCAGCACAGCCCTACAAAAAAATTGGTCTAGAATCTGAATATCCACTTAATATAATATAATATAATATAATATAATATAATATAATATAACATGACATAACATGACATAATATAATAAATATCATATAATATAATATCATATCATATACATAACACAATATAATAAATAATCTATTCAGAACTTTTATATACAGAATCAATAAAATACATGTGTTTTGTGAAGCTAATTCTCTTACCAACTTTTGCCCACTAAAGATTTACAGCTTTTATGTAATAAATTTAATCTCACTCCAGAGTTCACAGACATTAAGAGAAACATGTTAAGTTTAGGACAGTTTATAAGCTGTATCTTACAGGTTAGTAATAAGAAAATATGCATTTGTAGTGCAAAATAGATGCCAATAGAGCCAAAGAGATCTTAACAGAAAGAACTAATTAATTTCTGACTACCTGTGAATCTTTATTCTAGCCCCCACTATGTTAAATAGTCTTCAAGAATGGCCTTTCCCATCTCCATAGTTACTGCAGAAGAAAGATGAGATCTCTGCTCTAAAACAAAATGTAGGACCACCTTCAGGAAGAGCCCTAATTTCTAAAGCTAAAAAAAYTCTAGCATCGTAAGAGTTTAAGCACCTATTTAAAATAATTTTCAGGCAGACCCATACATGAAACTGTGAGGATTTCATGAGCCTTTTTTTCACTTTTTAAATACTTACAAAGGAAGGAGGAATGGAAAAGAGGAATGATAAAAAAAGCAGCATTTTTAAAGATGATAAATTACAGCAAAGTTTTCAAAAATAAAGTATCATTTAATGAAGAGACTTTCTGTTTCTCAGTCTTTGCATATCACTGGGTTGCAAAGCAGCAGCAAGTCAGTTCCAGGTACAGACCTGGAATTTAATCTACCCACAGACATGTAAAAAGGCAAGAAGAAGCTAAAACATCAGTCCTGCAACACTCTGACCCCACACCACCTGAGGGTGTGGGGTCAGCTCCTTAGGATACAAGAAACAGAACAGAAGACGTCACAGGAGATCTCTCTACCACCAAAACTGCTGCTTTCTCCAAGACTGCAATATCAGTACAAGTAATTTCATCTGGGGCTTTGAATACTTCTACAACACACATTGTTAAAATCCTGTAAACTCTGCCTCAAGTACTTTTTGGTTGGCAGAAGCCACCCAAGGTTCTTTACTGATTAGTCTGTTGTCACCATTGCAGCAGCTCCCACTGCACGTTTGCAGTCTGCATCTCTACCAGGAAAAGAAGTACCACTCTGCATCTCAGTCATTCTACTAATTTTTTTTTCCTGGCTAGAAATTTTAAAAAATTCAGTATGTTCCCTCAAGCATACCAACTGGAAGCATAACATTTTCCAGTTTTGTGATGATACATCTAACACCAAGCTGAGTAGAAAGTTCTGGGTGGCCTCTTGTTGTCATGGAGATACACAGTACCTCRCACTGAAGAATGACTACACATAAATGCACCATTGCTGAAATTACTGCCCTATCTGCAGTACCTTCTATAGTCCGAGAGTGTTACTAAAGAATTTCAAATTCCTACAGTAGGACACTGTGCTCAAAGCAAGCGGTGTCAAGCAAAAAAGATGGATCTTTTGATGCAATGCTAAAATATAGCACATTCTAAATTCCCCAGTGTTTCTTTTTTGTTGTCAAGGTAAAATATGTTCCAGCTAATACCGAGAATATTATTAACAAAATTAGATAAAATATAAAACTGCAGTAATCCCTTTTTTATTTGAATTTCTTCTTGAAACTGTGATTTAGAATAAAACATTACAGGAGCACTAATACATTCATTTCTGTCAGGATGGCTGGGATATGACCACAAGCATTATATTGAATAAAAGTGAAGATTAAGAACTGAGTTGAATATTTACCTCTAACAGCTTTAGATTATCCAGATCCAGTGAGGGCTCTGATGCTGCTGCCTCCATCATGTTCATACTGTGCAAACCTTGTTTACGGTCTCCTGGGGAAAAGGTTGAGGAGGAAATTAGACAGTTTCCTTTCTGGATGTGCTCCAAGTGAAAAAATGCAACTTACCTGGGACCTGGCAGAAATACATATTGCAGGCAAGGATGTAACAAGTAAAAAGGAGTCCTATAAAATCTTCTCAAAGTCAGCAAAATGAGCAGTGAAGGTGCTGATAGCTAAAAACTACAGATACCTGYTACACAACTATTTCAAGAATTCAAAGTCACTGGCAGTAGCTATAAASCATGTTCACCACCTCACTTAAGCTGTACTGAGCAGAGGATTCCAAAATGGGTCCCAAAATGCCAGGTTGGAGAAATCATAACTCTCTCCAAACTGTTATGAAAGGCACATCACCTTAAAATGCCAGAGAGGAAAAAAGGGAGCATTATGTACAAGCATAAAATAGGGACTGGGGAGAACAGAAGATGTAAGGATAACTTTGAGAAACAGCCAAATGAACAGCTGAAAAAAAACAAAGCCAAAAAGATCATCCATCCCTACCTGCAAGCATCCTGTATCCAAAGAACAGAGCTGCAATCAGGACAGCCAGTACAGACACAGATGCCAGGGCAATAACGATGGTCTCATCTCGATGAAAAGAATGAGAAGAATCTGAAAGCAAACAAGATGAGGACTCTTAAACTGTAAATTTGAAAGAATCAACAYTATAAAACATGGAATTGTTATTACAACAATGAGGGGGGAGAAATGTACTCTGGATTGTAAAACATCACGCTAAACTCTTTTTCCTCTCAAAATCTAGGGATGGCAAAAGACTTGATCAGTCCCAAACCAGCTGGGCACACATTCATCTGCAGCTTTTCCCATTCTCCTTTGCCATGTGGAGAGAGGTACTGACAGCACAAAGTCAATCTTCTTTCTATCTGGGGAAGTCCAGCCCCGCCATGTCGATGCAGTCCTGCACTGCAATCTGTGCTTTAATCCAGTTTCCCAGTATGAATCAGGTTTGTAACTTTTACAAGTTTCTTTTATTGTTTTTCCCAGGASAAAAATCTCAAAAGGTTTTGCTAATTGGGCAGCAAATAGGATAAATATTCAATGTTTCATGTTAAAATACCTGAAACATATATAAGCCCATGTACGCAAATATTTCAAAATACTTTGGGGTTTTGATTTGTTTTGCATCAGCACTCATATTTTTTGGCAYAATTCTTACTTCTTAATATAAAAAAAGACAGAAGTATCTCTACAGACTGCAGCAGGAAACCTGAAAAAACAATAAAACACTAAACAAAATTAAATAAAATTAGTGTTATTGAGCCTATTGTAAAATAGCATTTGATTTTTTGTCCAAATGTGAGTATATTGCTTTTTCAGGTTTTCTTGGTTGGGTTCGKTTTTTTTCCCCAGAGAGGAAAAAGATTTCATGAAAACATTTGGTAGTGCCTTGAAATGCTTCTCCATGTCAGACTCCAGTCTTGCTTCCTGCAGGCATATAAAAATCCAGCCACTTTAATATAAAAAATTTTTAGTGCAGATAGTTTTCTGATGTCAGAATCACTGGAATGTGGCACGACAAGACCTCATTTACTTTGGCTTCAAAACCAAGYTTGGGAACTATGTTTAAACATGTCTTATATACTGCAAAAACTACTCCTTAAAAGACTGTAAGGAGACCTGACTACACTAAAACCACAAAATACAAAATGCACACAAGATTTAACATTGGATAATTTTTTAGGTGAGACTGAAATACAATTTATCCCAGTCTAGCTGAATAAACTRACAAATTCACTTTTCTTGAATTGCATTTAAAGGAAATTAAACAACATTCACAACTTCAAATTCCCAGWGTGGACAGACTCAAGAGAACCAGACAAGGGAAAGCAAATTCAAAATACAACAACTGTCATTTTTACATTACCATAATGGTAAGGGGAAATAATGGAAAGCTGGTAAAACAGAATGCCAGAGAGAATTTCAGCTGTGATAGAAGCATGTGAAAAATCACCTATCAAAACCCACATGCAACTCATATCTGATACCTTCATTCATCCTTTAAATACAAGGGACCTTGTGATAATCCCARTATCATCAAATTTAAATTTGTTCAGTTAAAAGAAATGCCCGTCACTACTGATTTTGGTAAAGTAAGTTTCACTAAGAAGGTAAGTTATTGCCATAAAACACTGTTGTGGGTTAAGGTTTCTCCTTTTGTTCCCTTTCTTGGGCAATTTTTCTTTCCCATTTTGTTGCTGGGATACACTGATTGCCAGGTCATCCTTCTGATGGCTGGATGATTGGGGAAGACAAAAGAACCTACACCCCACCCTAAGGGTCTCCTCCTGCCTGGCAGTTTTTTTTTTTTTTTTCTCTCTTTTTTCCCTCTCTTTGGAGAGAGGGAAGTTCTTACAGGAGTTTTGGGCTTAGGGGAAGGTGTGTGTGTGTGTATGTGGCGGGGGCGTAACTTCACTCCCTGCCCTGCTTGGCTCAGAGGAGGAGGTCGACCTGCTGCCTGTTGGGGAGAGCTTGCCGGCTCTTTTCTGCAGAGCCCAGCATCTCCTGGTTCCTGTTTGCTCCATTGTGATCTTCTGCCCCTGTGCCTTGCCAGGGACCCCTGAGATTCCAGCTGCAGTGGTTGAGTTCTGCTGCATCCCATCTGCAGCCGCGGGATTCTGCTCATCTCTTTGCCCATCTGACCGTTCTGGGGTTTCTTGCTATCCAGAGGGAGCACTGAGATTGGCATTTTTCCTCTGTGAGTTTGCAGAGGAACTTTTTCCCCGTCCATCTCTGCCGGTTTGTATCCGCCATTGGCCACGCGGGAGATCTGAACCAGCCGGGACCCGCCCACAGCGCCCCCTGCAGCCACCGGGGAATCATCGCACCCGCCCTGCCCGGCCGGGAGCCAACAGCGCCCCTGCTGACTGGGACTGGAACTGCACCAAAGGGGAGGGTGTGTGTATCTCTGTGTGAGGCTGTCAATGGGTTTGTGACTGGGCTGTTGTTGCTATTGCTGTTACTTGTTTTACCTTGTTATACATATTTGTAAAAACTGTTATTCCCTTTTACCCATATTCTTGCCTGAAAGCCCCTGATTTTTCCAAAGCTATAATAATTCGTAGGGAAGGGGGGTCACATCCACCACTCCAAGGGGGGTCCCTGCCTTCATTGGCAAACATCTGTCTTTCAAACCAAGACAAATACTAATGTGCAATAAAAGCTGTGACTTCCATTGCAAAGAGATTAAAAGATACACATTACGATTGTCATCTAAATTRTGAATTCAAAACACAGGCATACACGTATAGTAAACCCCACAATATCATAAAGGAAACTTACATCAGACAAAGCTATATGAAATATTACACAAGTGTGAGAAGATGAATAGCTGCTGGCAGGGAAATGGTAGTTTTGACTTTCATATTTTTATTAATGGAATTTACACTTTACTGGGTTATCTTTTAAAATATGTATTAAATGTGGCAGGTTTTGCATCAATTCAAGACAGTGCCTAGCATGTACTAAGAAGCAGCAGGTTTTGAGACTGACCTTTTTGTTAAAATCTCAGCTGTATTTTCCTTGACTGCACAGCTAGAGTGCTGCCATTTGCCAGCTCCCCATCGCCTAATAACCACCAACCATTTCCACCATTTGCCAAATGATACCTAATGCCTAAGTTTGATTGCTCTTCTTTAGTTTTCTGTACCCTTAATCAAAGGGTTAACAACATGCCTCCATTAGGAGAGGCCCCTCTACCCTGGAATGGGATTTTGCTGTTCCTCCAATCCYAGCATGGCCCAGGGAAAGGGCATCCTGAGCAACATGTTCCTCAGCAGTTGTGGCTGCCTCAACACACTCCCCTCAGAAGCCTGTGAATGCTGCCACTCTGCAGGCTGAAGAGACACTAGAAAATCTCAAGATAACATTTRCTCCCAGCAGCAGCTGAAAAACACACTGAGAAAAAGGATCGTTTCTTTTTCCTTCCTTGATGGACCATCCCCTCTGTGGGATTTTTCTGTTTAGTGGGTAGCTGGGCAGCCACCAGGTAACCTCACTGACCTCCCTGGCCTTCAAGAGAAAAKAATGTTTTCATTTTTTTAAAAGCAGAGTTGTTCCTTTTAAGAGTCTTAGATTGGCTTATCTTTAACTGTTTTTCAATTCCTATAAATATTTACAAATAATAAACTGTCAGCATTCCAACAGCCAAGTCAGACCTTCAGTTTGAGTTACTACTGTCAGGATGATGAGCAATATTTGTCAATTTAGGAAAAAAAACAAATTCTTCAATAAGGGCTTGTGAGCATCTCAGTGGAGTGATAACACACAGCTCAAAACAACACAAGTGAATAAAATACTCCGTGTGACAGGCAGTTAATTCCCAGGCAGGACAACTTCACTATCTTTTGCTTGTAAATCCACACAAAAAGCAAAGCACAAAACCCCCACAATGACAGCTGGACCAGACAGCTCCGAAACCCCCACAGAAGGTGTTATTTCTTTCAACCCTCTATCTGCTTTGTAAGACAAAAACTTTGGATGTTCTCAGATCTTTCTTCAATAGAACAGAAAGGATATGTCACTTATCAACCCAGTTTTAAAACCTTCCCAAACGTAACAAAAATCGTATTAACTCACTAATTTTATTAATCCATCTCTTTCTTTGTCTATACTTTAGTCTTTTACATCATACTTACCTTTAAATGCCTAGCTAAGAACCATATAGGACTTCTCAAGGCATATGCAGAGGCTCACATATCCTCTTTTATCTACTAAGTAATTAATACATGTTCTTTATATACATATACACAAGAGTCATATTCCTCTTGCTATTATCTGGAGATGCATTTTAACTAATTCACCAAAAGACACATCAGTGTAGGTGAATAAAAGTAATYACTAACCTTTAAGCAAGGCACTTTTAAAATAAGGATGTTAAAATGTACATGTGTAGAAGTTTCTTTTCATCGTTGCTTCCACAAACTTATAGTCCGGGACAAAATAACCACGACTCCTCATGATGATGACATTTACTATGAAAGCCATGATTTGATACTGCATTTCCTATCAACAGCTCCAGATGTATTACAGTGCACAAATTTTTCTGAACTAAGACTTGACTGTCTTAAGCTATTAACAATCCGTCCCTCAAATCAGTGGACTGTGCTTTTCAAATTTATTCRCCTGGACCGGACACCTGCCCTACAACACCACTGGTTTTTTAACATGTCATTGTACAAACTGACTTTAAACATGCTTAACAACCACTCAACAATCTCATTTGAATTTCTGGAATCATTACCAGTATTTAGGTACTGAGTGACAAAACTGATTCAAAAACAAACTGTCCACCACTGTTTTCAAATCTCAGACTGGGAGCCCTGATATGTCAGTATTATTCCCAAAACAATGTATAGCATAAAAAAAGCAATAGAATAAAGAGCAGAATTAGCTGCAGACTCTGGAAAATCCAATGATTAAGGAGTTGACTGCTGAGTTAAATGCTACCTGCAGTTGTACKCAGAAGATCTTGTCAGAGCTTCCTCAGATTCATGTTAACTAGTGCTAGTGCAGGTGCTTGTTTCACTGCTATTTGCAAGTGATGCTTTCATTTCCTACATAAGCTTAGGCTCCCTGATCTACAACAAAACGAT